CTAAACTGTAAAAAACAAAATGTTAAAACTTTTAGAAAAAAATTAAGAAGTATGTCTTGGAGTAGAGATGGATGTCTTAAATAAGATTTTTAAAAAGCACACATATGGATAAATTTGATTAAAATATTAGTTAAAATTCTGCTCAAGAAAGACACTATAAGCAAACTTAAAAGGCAAGCCACAGCCAAAGACTTTGGGGGACCCCTTTGCAGAGCTCTGGGGGTCCTTGTCTCTGTCCAGCTCCCTTCTCTCTGGTGTTTTGTCCTATAAATTTTTGCTTCCTGGGCTTCCCAGAACTCTAAATTGACTCCTCCATTTGACTGCTGGGCTCGTTCTGGGTTTTCCCTCCAGTGCTGGAACTTAGGGAACTCACCCAGGCAATAAGCTAGGCAATCCTAGAGAGCTCTTCATTTTATTTCCTTCCTTCAGGGATCACTATTCTGTACTACTTTTGCCCATTGTTTTAGATGGTTTGTTGGTTTTCTAGTTACTAAAGTAGGAGAGTAAACCTGGTCCCTATTATTCCACCATGGCCAGAAGTGGAAGTGGTCCTAATACAATTTTCATGAAGTTTGAAAACATGTAAAACAATGCTATATATCTCTATATCTACATAGATATATAGAATTTATTAAAAATATGAAGTAATTGTATAAAAAAGGTGTATAGAAGAGATAAACACCAAATTTGGAATGGTATTTACTTGGAGAGAGAGACAGGAGAGGACTACTCTGAAATGGAGCTACTTTATAAGTAAGAATGGTAGCATTTTAGAATTCTTTGAAAAATTAGTAGTAGGCACATGGCTGGCTGTTCTTCATGCTATTTTATGTACTTCTTGTAGGCATGAAATATTTTATAATAAAAATGTAAAAGTATTAAAAAGAAGATTAAAGAATATTAGGTAAAGGAGCATCCCAGAAAGATCAAGAGGTAAAATAGAGTAATTGTTTCTGCAGGCTGCCTAAGTCAGAAGGCACTGTGTAGAGGGGACAAAAAAGTAACAATGGAGACATAGCATCTTCTTCCCTCACCTTGGGGTCTCTGGAAGGCCTGTGATTTCCCTGCTGGTGCTTTCCTACTGGTATTTCCTACTTTTGGACAGACTTTTCTTTGATGAAACCCTTCAAACCCCAACTTCCACAAACACCACCAGTATCACTATGATGCTGTGTTGTCATCTGTCCGTCCACCTGTGAGTCACTAACCCTTAGTTCTTGAAGATTTGAGCCCTTGGGTCACTGTTCCTCTCTCTGTCATCCACAGAGATGATCTTCTTTGACCTTGGCCTCTTAGTTCCTTGCACTGCTTTCCTGCAATTACCATCTCTTGCTTGGATATTGCAGTAGCCTCCTGACTGGTCCCCTTTCCCCAGCATCATTCCCTACCTCTTTAATTCTTAACACAGTAGCCAGTCAGAGACATCATTTTAAGGCATTGGGTCATGTCTTTCTCTGCTCCAAGTCCTCAAGTGACTCCCCATCTCACTCAGAGGAAAAGCCAAGCTCCCCTCATTGTCTTCAGAACACTACATTATTTGACTCCTGGACCTCCTCTCCTGCTGCCTTCCTGCTCATCACCCTGGACTCCTGGATGCTTCTGGAACCTGCTAGGCATGCTCCTGCCTCATTTGTACCCACTGCTCCCTCTGCTTAGACATTTTCACTCTAGATACCTCTAAGGCTTGTTTCTTCTCTCACCTCCTGATATGGTTTGGCTGTGTCCTCACCCAAATCTCATCTTGAATTGTAGTTCCCATAATCCCCACGTGTTGTGACCTCTCACATCAGGTGGGAAGTAATTTAATCATGAAGGTTGTTACCCTCATGCTGTTCTTCTGATAGTGAGTGAGTTCTCATGAGATTTGATGGTTTTATAAGGGACTTTCCCTGCTTTTGCTTGGCACTCTTCTCCTTCCTGTCATCATGTGAAGAAGGATGTGTTTGCTTCCCCTTCCACCCTGATTGTAAGTTTCCTGAGGCCTCCCCAGCCATGCTGAACTGTGAGTCAATTAAACCTCTTTCCTTTATAAATTATCCAGTCTCAGGTATGTTTTTATTAGTAGTGTGAGAATAAACTAATACACCTCCTTTAGGTCTTTGCTCTTCAACTGTTGCATTTGTCATAAGACCTTCCTTGACCACTTTATTTAAAACTGCTCTCTCCCTGTACGATGCTTTCTTTCTGCTTATTTTTTTTCTCTAGCATTTACCACCCTCTAATATGCTATATAATCAATTTCTTTATTTTGTTTATTGCCTGTCTCCCTTCACTGGAATGTAATCTCTATGAGGACAGGGGATTTCACATGTTTTATTGCTTTAATACAAGTGCCTGGAACAGTGCCTCGCACAGAGAAGATGCAGTTAAATACTTGCAGAAAGACTGGAAGCTACTTGGGCTTGCAAGAGGCTATTCCATTGTTCCCCTCCCCTTCCCAACCATCTGTAGCTGCCTCCCTTGAAGCACCTTCCAGTTCCCACGGCTACTGCCCACACACGCTTCTCTGCCAGCATTTAAGCTGTTCTTGTGTTCTGGGGTCCTGGGACAATAGCTCACTTCCATGCTGGACTCCAGGATTGGGGTCAATAATAAGCCTTTCTTTCCATAGCACAGGAGTGTGTCATCTCCTGCTTCTTCTTTTTACCTGGCTGTCTAGCTAAAAATGATTGCATAGAGTCAAATAAGATTAGTAATTACATTGGTCAAGCAGGCTAAACTGCTGTAACAAGCAGATCCAAACTAATTATGGCTGAAACACAACAGAAGCTTACTTAGACCTCCAGTCTAAATAGGTGTTCATGTCTCTGATGGCTGTCCTCCACATGGTGACTCAGGGATTCAATTTGATAGCAGCTTTGGCATCTTCAGCATGTGACTTCCACATTTGTCCAGGCTATTATCATTCCAGTTGGCACATAACTGCAAAAAAGCCTGAGGAGAGTGGATTTTGGTGGACAAGTAGTTGCCTCCACACAGTAATAATATTCGTCATCTTCATCATCGTGGTCTTAGTAGGAGGCATACATTTCAGCGGATAAACTCATGTATGCAAGAAATGTAACTTTGTTTTTTCTAAAATCTAACTTCTATTTTCAGTCTCAGCCTGTTAAGATAGCATAATTTTAATTTTAGTTACTGGGAGATCCCTGTTCCCCTCTTTTCTTGGGGAGGGGTTAAAGGGTGGGGGTAGGGAGAAGTGCATAGTTCCTGATGTCATCTGCTCACACCAGTACCCATAGGGATGGCCATCTTCTGGAATAGGCTTTGAGCGTCAGTCCTAAAGGATGCTGCAGAAGTGTCCCTAGATCCCAACTCTATGGCTCCTCCAGGTCTGGAGGGGCTCTCTATGACTTCCCTGCCTCTCTTGTGGATTCAGGAATCATTTGGTTACTCTCATGTCATGACAACAACTTTTCAAGGCTGCGTGAGGCTCCATTTGGCAAGGCACCCCCTGCAACTATTCTTATCTGGGCTCTTGCTGTCTTGGAGCTCAGCCCAGCTCTTGGATCCCCCACAACTCCATCTGGGAATTCTATTGCCTTCCCGGGGCTTGACTTTGAAGCAGGGAACAAGGTTGCTCTCTCTGGGACCCATCGGCATCTTTGTAACCTGGCCTTTTTCTTTATCTCTTTCATCTCTCTGGGTTGGGTATTTTTTCCTAGTATGATGAGGAGGGTAATTCTGGTTTTGGCTCACTTCTTGTCTATGCTGTGAATTCTTCCCCTCTCTCTAAGGGCATGGGTTTTTGGAACTTAAAACTGAAAGGAGAGACCGCTTCCCTCTGCATTTGGCTGTTACATTCTCTTCACTGAGTAGAGAATAACCTGGTTGCTAGTGAGAGGAAGGACCAAGGGGCATAGCATGGGCATACCATTTTTAACGGGAGAATTGTGAAATACTTAAAAAATACAATTGCACCATTTGATAATACTAATGACAACAACAATAATGATGTAATTTATATCTATTGAGCATTTAGTGTATGCCAGATCCTCTCCTAAGTGCTCTCTACATATGGTATGTCTTTTAATTGTCACAACAAATCTATGTGTATTTAATATTAGTCTTATTTTCCATCAGAGCAGTTGAAATTCAGAAAGGTAAAGGGACTTGCGTGTGTCAGGGTCTCACAGTTTGCAAATAAGCCAGTGGATCTAGGCTTCAGATGCTAGCCTTCACCTAAAGTCTGAGCTCAACCACTGCAACTCCTGGCCTCTTGGCAATATCCCTGGAACCTCAGGACACCAAATGGGGAATCATTTCATTCTTCCACCCTCCTGGCATCAGGCAGGAGTGGGGCTGGCCTTCCTGATTCCCTGCCCCAGCAGAGGTGGGTTGTCCCTAGGGTGCACCCACTGTCAGCCTCTTCCTCAGAACCGGCTGCCCTTTCTGCTTCGACCACGGCCTGTCTCATCTCCCTGCAGGTTTCCAACCTCTCTCTCTCTCTTTCTTGGTTTGGCTTTACAAATAAAATATAAATTTAGCTAAGAGCTCATACCACAAAAAGGGAAGAAGTGGTAAGTACAGGCAGCAAACAGAGCTCAAGGGTTAACACCCTGCTGCCACTGGGTGCATGAGCTTTGCAAAGGGGAGTGGGGACTGAGGCTCCTAGGTAGGTGTTCTTGGACCCTCCAGGTGGCCCCTCTGATCACCTGGCTCATGCTGAGGCAGGACGTCCCAGGCTCTCCCCCAGACAGGCAGAGCCTTTTCCAGGTAGAGTGCCTGTGGCTTCAAAAAGACCTCAAACAATCTCTACTATCAGATGACTATTCCTTTGGATTAATAAGCTCCAAATACTGGATAGGCTCACTCTAAAAATTCAGGTGTCAAACATTTTCATCTTAGTCTAGCTGGGCTGAATCCTCGGGCTCAGAGCAAGGCTCCGAGGGGAGTGATGTTGGTGGGCAGTGGGAAGGGAGGAAAGGAGCTTTGGAATGTGGTGCAGGTGGCTTGGTGCAGGGGGCTGTGGGAGGGTGCACAACTGTGTGTCTCTGCAGGTGAGGACTCCATCAGCACCTTGGGCCTGATCCTTGGCGTGGGACTGTTGCTGCTGCTCGTGTCCATCCTCGGCTACAGCCTGGCCAAGTGGTACCAGCACGGGTACTGCTGGGAGGGTGAGTGTGCACTGGGCCCTGTCGCCCCAGTTCTGCCCAGCTCCTCCTCTCCCATAGCAATGCCTGGCAGGGCTGCAAACTCTTCAGCATGGTGGGATGCAAAAATATTTCCTGTGGTGGTTGCAGTGGTTGAAGACTTGAGTGGGTGGCTGAGCAGTTGAGGTGGTGATGTGGGGCAATGGCGCCTTTATCGAGGGAATGGGGGCTCCTCCCACCCCAGCAAGCAGCCAGCTTCCTCCTCCCTCAGTGTCCATGCCAGGGGTCTGTGTGGGCCCCCAAGGCCAACAGCAACAGGCTAGAGAGGCCAAGCTCCGAGTGGTCTAACTCTGGCTCCTTTTGTGTCTCTGCCCCTGCCTATGGGTCTTGGGACCCTCTCCTAAGCTTGTGGAGGTATCAGCTTCTCTGGGAGTCTCCTGGAAATTGCTGTGGTGTTCCCAACTCTAGACATAGCTGCACTTTTCACTGGATTCTGGGAAAGCTGGAAGGGTGTGCTGGAATGCCAAGAGGTAGAGATTATTTCCTAGACCTGCAGTTAACTTTAACAGAGTCCATGGATATTTGTCATGCACTTTCATCTAATATGATTTTCTTTAAAATTCCACATGAGAAAGACATTATTATAGGCTTCATTTTTATAGATGGGGACATGAGGCTAAGGTCATAGAGTTAGAATGAGGTGGAGTCTGAATTCAAGCCCAGGTCTGGTTCTTTTGGGGTCCAGGCTAGGACTGCCTTCATCCCAGGATAATCAGGATCCTTAATGGGGGGCCCTGAAGGAGGCTGGGATGCTCCCACCCCATCCTGAGGTCCAGTCCAGCCACCTTCCTCCTCCAGACAAGGGGGAGGGAGCACCAGACGTTCTTAGAAGGGTGATGGACTGCTTCCCCTGGAGGTGCTAACCCTCTCTTTTTGGATTGTCCTCCTAGGGCCTAATTTTGTCTTCAACTTATACCAAATCCGGTGAGTAAATTCAGGGAAATCTGGGTGATGTGGGGGTTGGGGGTAGATATAATGGAAAAAGAATCAAAGATAGAGTAAGAACTGACTGGTTCCCTTTCCTGTCTTCTGTTCATGCCCCTAAGAAAACAAAAGAAGGGCACGGGAATCTATTTAGAAAAGTCCCATGAATTAAAACTTGAACACACACAGGACTCTGTGAAACCCTGATGACAATGATTTCCTTAACACTCACCCTTAGGCAGGGAATATCCATCCATCCTTCCATCCATCCATCCATTCATCCATCCATCCATCCATCCATCTATCCATCCATCTCTCCCCCAAGCAGGCAGAGCCTTCCTTCCTTCCTTCCTTCCTTTTCATTTATTCAAAAAGATTCTATCATAACCACCACCACTGCAGTATTAGTTTCAAGGAGTACAAAGATGACTGGGCATAGTCTCTGTCTTCAAGCATTTCATGTCTCTGCTGGAGACAGGTCTGATTACAGATAATGTAATCTCAGGCACAAGATGGTATCAAAAAGAGGAGCATATGAGAAAATCAGGGATTCAGGGAGTGCGAGCCAGAAGTCCTCTTGGCACTGGTCATCTCATCTACTTGCCACAGACAGGGCTGTACCTCCTTTGGCCCTGAGAGATGATTACAGTAATTGGCCCACTTGCTTTTCTGGAAGACAAGTCAGTGAGTTGGTGCCCTGGAGTCAAGGGAGATGGGGTCCCAGGGAGAGGCTAGGTTATCAGCTCCAGTAGCCTGATTGGATCATCTTTTTCAGGAACCTGAAGGATGTAGAGATGGGTCCGCCCTTCACCATCAGTGGTCACATCAGCAGCTCAGATGGTGGCTACATGAAGTTCTCCAACAGGCTAGTCTGATGCAGAGGCAGCAGCTTGTGGAGCCCTGGGGAGAGGAGTTGGAGTTGGGAGAGCTGCCAAGTGAGCCTGATGTCCAAGTAAGGTCTTAAGACGGTCCAGGCACCCAAGCCTCGCACCAAGGACCATTTGGAACCCAAAAAGATTATCTGGTTCATCCCCTGTCTTCTAGTGCTGATCTCAGGCTTGGGGTCATGTTTTCCCCCACCCGCTTCTGGCACTAGGCCTGCCCTGTTTCCTCCTGTCCACCCAATCCATGCCCAGCCTTTCCTTCCTGGGAAGGTTCTGTTTGTATTCAAGGTGGAAGCTTCTAGAGCAGAGCTTTTTATCTCAGCTCTTGCTCTGAGATGAAATTTCCAGATGGCCAATATCTCTGAGAAGCATCACTTCAGTTCTGAGCTTTCCACGCCCAGGAGCCTCCCCTGCTTCACGGCCCACCGATCCTTTGGCCACACCTTCCCTTAACTGCCTTCAAGCTAATCCCTTCCCCGCATCTCAGTTACTTTTTCCCATCCAAACCATTTCTCCCTCCGGCAGTTCTTGCCCCTCCCAGGCTCCCCTGGACTGCCCTCATCCCCTTGGATCTTCAAGGCCTGGCCTAGCCCCTCATTGTGGAGAATGAGGGGGTCTCCTCTGGATATGGCATCAGCCTATGGCATGGGAGTCCTGGGGAGTCAGGCCTCTGGGGATGGAGTCTGGCTGGGCAGCAGCGGCTTTCTCACAGAACTAAAAGAGGCCGCCATTCCTCAGGAGGGAGCTGGATCCCCGGAAGCCCCTGAGCCTGTAGGAGGGGTCAGAGATGTCCTGGAGAACCGGCCCTGCCCAGTGCAGTCCAGTGTGGGCGAGGCCTGCAGACACCAGTGGGGAGCTTCTTTATGGGGTATCTCCAGTCACCTCCCCTTGTACGGTTGACCAGGGGCCAGAAAGTCAGTCATAGCTTCAAATAGGCAAAGTTACACAGAGGTGATTCCAGACATGGTTTTAACATTCCCACCTGCGGCCAATTTCCCTGAAGCCTGAGCTGGGCCTCGACTCTGCCCCGCCCCACTCTGTACTTGGTTCCAGCACTTTCAACCCTCCCCTTGCCCCGTCCCCAATCTGGGCCTGTTCTCTTACTGCTGAAGGCCTTAGTGCATCCCAAACATGACCAACTCCCAATTTTGATGTGCAGTGCTGAGAACAGTCTAGAAACATGTTCTTGTTGCCTAGGCTCCTGCAATGGGGTGGGTACGGGGGAGTGGGTGAGTGCCACCTTACGGTGTTCTGCATTTCTTGTGCAAAGCCTGCCCTGTGGCAAAAGGGGGCCGGAAATGGTGGGAGTGTGAAGAGGAACCCAGGCGAGGCTGAACAAACCAGATAATGCAGCAGGGAAACCAGGAATCCACTGTAGTTTGGTGGACAGTGGGGCAGTTCCCCTCGTGAGTCATCATCCTTTTTCCGGTCTGTGCCCTGCTGGACTGGAGGTGGAGTGTGCACGGGACATCAGCTCAGAAGGTGCTTAGTGCAGACTTGTTCAAACCAGAGAGGCAGTGTCCTCAGGGCTCCTGTGGTTGGAGTAGGGCAAGAGAAGGGGGCCTGTCACTGCTGAAACCTGCAGTTAGAACAGCCATCCACCAGCCCCTCTGCTAGCAGCCCAGCAACAGATGCAGGAGCCCAGTACAGCAAGGGGGAGGAGGAGGGAAGCTGTGTGATTTCTCTTCCTATGCTCCCTTTCCTGAAGCCTCATTTCTCTTTTTGGGTTGTAGCAGATTGTAGAGGAAGGAAGGCGAGGAAGCTTTACCAGCCCTTACCCCATTTTCTGCCAGGGTCTGGGGGCCATCCTCCCAGCATAGCCAGGCTTTGACTTAACTACCAAGTCTCTGGATTTGGAGGTCTTCAACTAAGTCTTCTGTCCCTGAGTAAGTGGGAGTGAGGAAGGCCCCTTAATGGTTCTGGGACCCCTCCCTTCCTTGAAGGCCTCTTGGAATAGCAGGGAGGGGAGATGGGTTGTCTTCAGCTTCCTTCCTTGGATTTCAGTTCTGAGGACTGGGGCCTGTTTCCTAATCCCTGAGGTTCGGGCCCCAGTAATCAATCCTTCCTTCCTTCCTTCCTCTTTCTTTCTTTCCTTCCTTCCTTCCTTCTTCCTTCCTTCCTTCCTTCCTTCCTTCCTTCCTTCCTTCCTTCCTTCCTTCCTTTCTTTCTTTCTTTCTTTCTTTCTGACGGAGTCTCACCCTGTTGCCCAGACTGGAGTGCAGTGGTGGGATCTTGCCTCACTGCAACCTCTGTCTCCCAGGTTCAAGGGATCCTCCTGCCTCAGCCTCCCAAGTCGCTGGGATTACATGTGCATACCATCATGCCCAACTAACTTTTATATTTTTAATACAGATGGGGTTTCACCATGTGGCCAGGCTGGTCCCGAACTCCTAACCTCAAGTGATCCACCCACCTCGGTCTCCCAAAGTGCTGGGATTACAGGTGTGAGCCGCTGCACCTGGGCCAACCCCAATAAAACTCTCTACCCGCACCCTGCCTAGCAGGGATCCTGGGTCTGCAGTCCATGCCTGGCCTACGCCCCTGGAAGTGCTCAGAACTCAGTAGCCTTGGGGAAACTTGAAAGGGAGGATGGGCCCAGGAGCCAGGTGGCCCTGGCCTGAGGTCTGTGGCTTCAGGTGAGGAGACGGGGACAGCTGCCCGGGGCTGGGAGCATGGAGGGTATTTCCCATCCTCGGGAGCAGAACTGATACTGGGCGACTTCCTCTTTTAGGGCCCTCTGACGCACCCTCTGTCCCCTCAGACTCCCCCTCTTTTCCTTACTTCCGCAGGTCACTGGCGAACACAGCTTTCTTCACCCTTGAGGCCTGGGCCCCACCCCTGGACTCTGTGTGTTTCTGTTGAGAGCTCCAAAGGGCAGATTCCAGCTTGTTTAGAAACGATTGGGGAGCAGATGCCTGGAAACCCAGCCACAGGTTTGGCTGAGCCAGGCACTGGTTGGGCACCCAGACCATGGCTATGCCAGGGCCTCTCCCAGCACCTTCCTGCTACCTTTTTACAGTTCTTCTTTCCACTGGCCCTAAGAGCCCAGAGGTAGTCACAGGGGCCGAGGGCCCAGGGGCTGGCTGCTCCCAGTTCCCCTGCCACCCTTTGGTGCCTTCTCTGGGGCTATTCTCCAGCCTGGGTGCCCTTTTGTCCCCACAGCCCCTCCCCTCCTAGCCATACCTAGTCTCTGTGGGATGGCTCAAGTCCATCTTTGCTGTGACTTTGCTCAGGGTTCGAGACTTGATACCACTCATTTTGATCTGAATTGCAGGTGACCACATTTCCTCCATTTGTGCTGTTCCTCAACCAAGCTGAGCCCTCTGCAAGCAAGGTTATGTTCCGTAGGTCTTTAGTAGCTCCTAAAACTGGAGCGTGCTGGAGGAGGCCAGCAACTACTTGCCGAGTAGAGAAGAGACACCCGGTGTAGCCACAGAAGGCTTCTTTGTCCTAGAAAATCATTTAAAATCATGATGAGGCTGGGAGGTGAAGAGGGAGCTTTTCTCTCCTCTATGTTCTCCTTGAAGTCTTAATGATCTTCTCCCATGCCAGTGGCATTGGAGGGGGCCAGCTGACAGGAGCCGGAGGCCAGAGTCTATGGTGCCCCTCTCTCTGCTTCAGGAGTCTGAGAAACTCAAAGTAGGAGCAGATGGGAGGATCATTATTATATTTTTAAAAACTGCTTAGTGATCAAAAGGAGGAGCAGAGACTGTTTGCACAGTCCACAGTTCACAGAGCACAAAGCCTTTTCTCGCATGGTACTGCGTTTGAGCCTTATGTCAAGCTTGAGACACAGGGATTATTCTTGGTCCTGTTTTACATATACGGACACTTGGGTCAGAAAAGCAGCATGTTTTACCCAAGTTCCACAGCTGGCTACTGGCTGCACCAGAGCTGAGCAGAGTCTGCGCCCTCACGGATGCAGCTGACCTCAGGGCGTAAGGATGAGGACTGAATGTAATATAAGGTCTGGTTCTGACCCTGCTCTGATGTGCTGTGTGGTCATGGGCTACTTAGTCCACCTCTCTGGACATCTATTTCAGCATCTGGAAATCAAAAGTTTGGACTATTTTTCCAAGGTTTCTCCTGGTTCTTACTTGTAGAAGAGTAAAGACCTTATCTATTTTTTTTTTTAAAGCCTCTGCATTCTCAGTTCTTAGCATATAACCTGGTCCATAGTAGGTGCTCAGTAAACAATTAAAAGATGCAAGTACAAAGTGTCAATATATCTTTCTAATTTAGGAGATGGCAGTTGAAGGGTGACGGCTGCAGTTCCCTAATGGTCTAGGATTCTAAGCATTACTTAGCCTTTCCTTGACTCTGAATGTGTCTGACCAGGTTCCAAGTCTGGCCCATTCCCAGCCAAATTGTTCTTTACCTGTAGGGTGAAACGCTAATGTTTACTGAGCACGTATCAGTGCAGGCCAGAGGCTTATGAGGCACAGCCTGTCTTCATCCTCACAGCCTCACAGGTGAGGGAACAGAGGCTCAGAGCACTGTGAAGTGATTTGTTCAAGGCCAGGCAAGAATCTATTTTCTTTATAATCCTTTGTCACCCACTTCTAGCCTCAGTCCAAACTGGCAGCTATCCTGACATCCTTGGCCCCCAAGAACATACTCCTCCCTCTAGATGGTCTCTAATCTCTTTCTGGGGTCTCCTTGTGTGGTGAGAAGGGAGCTCAGGAGCTTCCCACTGACCTACTCCTCTTTCTTCCTTTTGTTTTTTTAGACCTTCCTTGACCTCCGAATCACCAAATTCTGCCCATTCTTCATGCCAGCTCAAATTTCCCTTCTCCAGGGAGCCTTCTGTAAGACCCATGGATCTTGTGCTCTGCTGATTTTAAATACAGATAGTCTCAGGCTCCCATAACTTTATTATTGATTATTTCTTTGCATTCATTTATTCACACTGCTTCCATAACATGCCAGGAACTATGCTAGGCACCATGGGGGCATCCAGTCTCCCTGAAATTAACCTTGTTTTCTCCTATTTGATGGGCATTTCTTGCAGGCAGAATCAGGTTTTAAACCTCTTCTGAGTTCTCCACGGTACTTTGCATGCCTCTGGCCATAGCCAGGAACTTCTCAGGAAATTGTGTTGAAATCTCTCTTCAGAACATCTTGAGCATTGCTTCATCCCTGGTGCAATCCCAGGTGCTCTGAAAACCAAAACTTTCTCTCTCTCCTCATCCTTGACGACATTCAACCTTGTGCTCATGATCAGTTACATTTCTGAGAGAGAGCACATAGATGACGATTTTTCTATCTTGAAGTATAACTAAGGAATGATCAAAACCATGACGATGCTGGCAGGTGAAGAGGGAGCTTTTCTCTCCTCTAGGTTCTTCTTCAAGTTTTAATGATCTTGTCCCATGCCAGTGGCATTGGAGGGTGCCTAGTGCCAGGGACCAGGAGCCCAGAGTCTATAGTGCCCCACTCTCTGCTCCAGGAGTCTGACAAACTCAAAGTGGGAGCAGATGGGAGGATCATTATTATATTTCTAAAAACTGCTTAGTGATCTAAAACCATCTAGAAGCTGTGATATTTAAACAGATCTGATACAAAACAGGAAGCTGGTGGCCTGGTGAATTCTCACACTTGGAGACCAGAAGTGAAAATGTTCTGTCTGCCTGGAGCAGCAGCAGGCCAGCAAAACAACAGGTGGGGCCGGGCGCAGTGGCTCATGCCTGTAATCCTAGCACTTTGGGAAGCCAAGGTGGGAGGATCACTTGAGGTCAGGAGTTCAAGATCAGCCTGACCAACATGGTGAAAACCCGTCTCTGCTAAAACTACAAAAATTAGCCAAGCGTGGTGGCTCGTGCCTGTAATCCCAGCTACTAGGGAGGCTGAGGCAAGGGAATTGCTTGAACCCAGGAGGCAGATGTTGCAGTGGGCTGGGACTGTGCCACTGCACTCCAGCCTGGAAACAGTGAGACTCTCACTAAAAAAAAAAAAAAAAAAAAAAAAACGAAAACAGGTTGGGCAGTGCTGGAGGTGAGTTTTTATCTGCAGAGCTATTGGGCTGGTCTCCTCCTCTCCAATCAGGAGGATGCAGTTTCTCACGATAAGCAGGGAGCCACTGGGGGAATGATGGTGGGCAGTATAAGAAGTCACATCTTTAGCCGGGCACGGTGGCTTATGCCTATAATCTCAGCACTTTGGGAGGCCAAGGCCGGCAGATCACAAGGTCAAGATATTGAGACCATCCTGGCCAACATGGTGAAACCCTATCTCTACTAAAAATACAAAAATTCGCTGGGTGTGGTGGCACGTTCCTGCAACCCCAGGAGGCAGAAGTTGCAGTGAGCCGAGATCGCACCACTGCACTCCAGCCTGGCAACAGAGTGAGACTCAGTCTCAAAAAAAAAAGAAGTCACATCTTCTATTCTAGTCCCATTTCCTCCCCTTGTAGCTGGTGAGCGCAAGCTTTGAGTCCCTGGTGCTGTGTTTGTATAAGGCTGCCATTGGACCTGAGGACTCTGAGGTCCCTTCCAGCTGGGAGGCTATTTCAGAGCTCAGGTAACTCTGAATAATCCTTTTTCACCCACTTCTACCCTCAGTCCAAGCTGGCATCTACCTTGACATCTTCGGCCCCCAAGAACCTACTTCTCCCTCCAGACGGTCTCTAATCAGTTCCACAGTGCTGGGCGGGGGTGGGGAGTGGAGAAGGAGGTGGGTGGAGACACCCCTGCGTATGCCTGTGTGTGTGTACTACACAACTGAGCCAAGAAGGAGAAGGATCATGTCAGATTGCCTTTTGTGTTTCCAGAGAGCACGCCCATGACAGAGGCTCAATGTTTGCCCAAAGAGTGAATGCATGTTGAATGTTTTCATGGTCCTTTGCCTTGTCTCTTGACCACATCCCCTTGCCTTAGTCTTCCTGTTTGGTCTGTAGCCCTGAGTTCCTACAACACCCAAAAGTTGTAGGGTGAAAATAGCAAGGAAGGAAATCAGCATGGTATAATATGCCTTGGCTAAGAAGATGGCAAGCCTGAAGATAAAATCTAAAATCATAGTTAGGTACAGCCTGCTTTTCTTTAGGCTCAGTCTAAATGCCTCCCAAGTGTCTGTTCAGCCACAAGCTACCATCACCACTGTTACCTTCTCATGTCTGGATACTATGCTTCTTCAAGTTCCTTCCCACGAA